ACATTAATAAAAATAATAAGAAACAATAAGAAACACTGTCTGTTGTCATGACGATTGCACCATCTCTGATGACCCCTGTGAATCTATTGGTTGGAGCAGAATGCACCGTGTTGAATGTTTTCCAGCAACATGTTTGTGAAGCACTGCTCTACACACATGTCAGACGGACGTCTTTGGTTATTGCCTTTTTTTTTTCCAGCATCTGCCTCTCTTCCGCTCCGTTGTTTTCCGTCCAGCTGTTTAAACGCAAGAATGCATTCTGTGTGAATGGCAGAAACATGTCTGCAATTAGGTGGTATTTCAAGCTTGAATTACTCAGAAAAAAGGAAAGCAATCCCTTATTAGGAAATGTATGTACGGATCAGGAAGCGGGACTAAATGCATTATTGTTTGATGCATTCTTTTCATGAAATTACACTAAATGAATGCTTTTAATTGACAGTTACTCGCTAGTGTTTATAAGCAGTCTTTACACAGCTGAGAGGATAAAAAAAACTATAAGCTGCATTTGCAACTTATAGTCTTTATATATTATTGTTAGTGAAATAAAATATACAATAATGCTCAGATCTAACGCCACATCTGCTGCGTCACTGTTTTACTGGATGAAGCAGCATGCCTCAGAGCCCAGAGAAGTTGATGGCGCTTATGGACACTTACCTACATACTTTCTTGCCTACTTACCTACGTACTACCTACTTAAATACTTGCCTACTTACTTACATAAATACTTACTTGCCTACTTACAAGCCTTCTTACCTACCTGCTTACACACATACTAGCCTACTTACTTGCCTTCTTTCCTACTTACATATTTACTACCCACTTACTACCTATTTACTTACCTGCATGTTTACCTACTTACCCACATACTTACTTGCCTACTTACCAACCTATCTACTTAGTACTTACTTAATATCTAATTACTACCTACTTATCTATCAACTTACCCACTTCCTACACATGTACCTATACGTATCTACCTATTTACCTACTTTCCAACATACTTCTTACATGCTTATGTACTTACCCACATACTTGCTTACTTTCTTACATATTTACTACCTACTCACCGACTTACCTACACACTAACTTGCCAACTTACTTACCTACTTACAATCTACATACTATCTACTTACTACCTACCTACTTTCCTACATACTTACCTTCTTACCTACTTACTTACCTGATTACTTGACCTACATACTTACCTTCTTACCTACTTACTTACTTACCAACTTACCTATTACTTACCTAGTTATTTACTCACCTACATACTTACTTGCCTACTTACCAACCTACCTACTTAGTACCTACTTACTATCTATTTACTACCTATTTATCTACTAACTTACTTACCTGCTTGCTACCTACACACCTAATTATCTACATATTTACCTACTTTCCAACATACTTGCCTTCTTACCTGTTTACGTACCTACTCACTACCTACATACTACATATTTACTCACCTACTTACCTACATACTTGCTTACTTTCTTACATATTTACTACCTACTTACCTATATACAGTACCTACATACTAACTTGCCAACTTACCTACTTCCTACCTACAAACTATCTACTTACTACCTACCAACTTATCTACCTACTTACCTACTTTCCTACATACTTTCCGTCTTACCTAGTTATTTACCTACTTACAACCTACTTAATACCTACTTACCTTCTTACCTACTTACTACCTCCTTTCTTGCCTACTTACTTACCTACTCTTACTGACCTACCTACTTACCTACCTGCGTACCCTCTTTACTTACCTACATACTTACATACTTGCCTTCTTACTAACCTACATACTTATTTATATACTTTGAATTGTTGTGCAAATATTCTTTGACTAATATTATAGTCTCTAAAGTTTGTGTGTAATTTTTTCTATAAGATATCCTTACACTTCTGTAATAACTTCACTTTCTTTTAGTATAACTTTGTTATCGTTTGGTCTCCTTGCTATCACTCTTGACCAAATTAATCATGGACTAAACATCGCCTCTAGTCCCTTAATCCTAAGTCATAACACAGAGTAAGTGAGACGGTGTTTGTGTACAACTGAGAAAACTTTTATCTGTTTCCAAAGGAAGCCCTTTGACTTCATGGTGACAGGGAATTATGGATTAAACTGTGTTTTAGAAAGCAAATCCTGCTCAGTTCAGCTAAGCTTCTCTTTAATGGGTCAAGTTTTTCAGTTCTTCTGATATTTTCATCAAGAGATAGATTTTTAAATGTGTATTGTTATTGGCATGAAGCAAATCTTGGGAAAAGGTTAAGTTTTTTAACAACTTTACGACAAAAAAAAAAAATGGCATGAGTTGCAAAATACATCGCCAAATATCCCAGACAATACTTTTACACTGGCTTTTCATTAAAGACATTTTTAATTCATGTGATTTACTACTTCTAATAAATGCTGAATATTCATTGAGACAACAGCGTCATTAGTTAGTTTGTTAGCTTTACTGTATAAATGCCCACATCTGAATAAATTCGGGAAAGTATGAAAAATGCAAATAATAATAAAAAAATAAACTAGTGATTTCTGAATTTACTTTGTCTTGTATTTCATTGCAGACAATATGAAGACAATATGTTATTTCCAACCCAGGCTCATTCTGGAAACGTAGCCCTGCGGACGTATCTGGAGACCGTGAAATACGTCCTGGGAGGTACGTATTTGTGCAGTTTTTGTTTTTGCCGTTCGCGCCTGCGCTGTTCCGCGTAAAGCCGTTGGAGGCCGCTATCGAGCGACTGTCTGTCTGACTGACTGAATGACTGAACGATTCACTGGGCGACCGGCCAATCGGCCGACCAACCCTCCGCCTCCTCCTCCTCCACCTTCCCTAAAAACTTTACAAAAGCCGACAAGAAAAAGAAAAGCCCTCATTTGATTTTGACTGCGTTCTCGGATTTCACTGTATTCTCGCCCCATTAATAAATAAAAAAATAAAAAATAAATAAATAAAATAATTAAAATAATATATGTAAAAATAACTAAAATAACTAAATAACTAAATAAAACAATAAAAAAATAAAAAAATAAACTAAAAATAAATAAAATAAATACATATCTAAAATAAATTAACAACTAAAATAACTAAATATAAAATAAATACACAAATAAATAAATAATTAAATATTTTACATAAACAAAATTAATTAATTAATAAATGTAATAATAAATAAAATTAAAAAATGACTAAATTAACTAATATAAAAATAACCAAAATAACTCAAATAAATAAAATAACAAAAATAAATAAATAGTTAAATAAATAAAAAACATGAATTAATTACAGGTAATTTTAAAAAGAACTAAAACTAAAACAAACAAACAAATAAATAAATAAATAAATAAAGTAAATAACTAAAATAAATAACTTAATAAAATAACCACATAACTAAATACATAGCAGTTTTTTTTTGTTACTTCTTTATCAAATTGTCATTTTATTTCAAATCGATTTGCTTTTTTATTAGCATCTATTTGAACTAATTTGATTACATGATTTCAACTGATTTAAACAAGCGCTGTTTAATATAATGGACACATTACACACTCACCCTTGAAACAGTGAAATACATTAATATTCACCCAGATTAGTGTGACGGCGCCTCTACATCCGGGAGTTAAAGCATAATCATTTACCACTGATTTCTCTTTTACAGTCTTCAGAAAAAAACCTCCATTAATACTGTGCACCCGTAAGGTCAGTTTCATCATTGTTTCATTTTCACACTTGTGCATTATTAAATTGAACGCGCACGCTTTTATTTATTTATTTCTTGGTGCACTTAAACATATTTGGGCCCTTCCTGCTTCACAGAGGCCATACGACCCCAATAACTGAGGCAGAAACGCAATCGATAAACTTTGTGCTTTCAAAACGGGCCAGAAAATTACTTTAGAGACATGACAAAAGTATATTTGGTGAGGAGGGAGGGAGAGAGAGGTGGGAAGTGAGCAACATTATTGAAAAGAGAGATTTGATAAAAGAATTGCTGTGAGTGGGAGAGTGTTTCAGACTCGTGCATTTAAATAATCTGTGTTAAAGATCAAGAGAGGTGTTCATTATCCTGTATAAATCTGTAGCCATGCCTCTAATACTGATCAACAGACGGAGGCAGATGTCTTCATTTCCTCAAGGATACATTTTAAAAGGCTGACAGCAGCATTCACAGATAATACAAGAGATCTGGTGATGCAAAAAAAAAAAAAAAAAAAATGCAACAAACAACAACAACAACAACAACAACAACAACAACAACAACAACAGTAATAAATAAAAAGTAATAATGAAAGAAAATAATAACAACAAACATGAATAATGAATAAA